TTAATGCATAATTTTTTCTCACATTTTTTCTTCATTATAAAATTATAAAATTGAATTTATGAAATTAAACATAGAAGTAATTAGCAATCAAAGTGTGTATACATTTTTTTTGGACACCCTGTATATACCTGATCACCAAAAATGAATGCCTGGATGGCACTTGAATCAGCAGATAAAGATCTTCATTAGATGTAACTACTGCTTCTATCCAATAAAAGGACAAGGTATATTCCTGAAGTAACAACAACAGAGGCAAGGAAATTTCACCCTACTTTTCCAACATAAATATCTATATTGGACACAACTTCCTGTCAATGAACTTCTGCAACTGAAACAAAAAACATGAATTAACTCTTAACACCCTCTGGAATATCTCAGAAATTAGAAAAATACAGGTACAATCTCAGGTCTGAATATGGTGTCATGTAGCTGAGTGCTTGCCTTTGGAGCTTTGCCCAACCTGCATCCACTTTCATCTCATTCCATCAACCTTAATACTCCATTCACTTCCATGGCACTAGATCACATTTGATGGACAATGATTTGGCTCGACTACACAGTTGGTCAATTTGTATCCGGTGAGAGTAGGAGTCAATATGGATGAGCAAGTCACGAGGTGACTGCAGCATGCCATTGCACAAACGGCACTGAAAGGTCTCTCTTGTGATCTCCCTAGAGGAAAGAGAAAACAAGAGATATGCATACTTTCAATGCACAGGGAACAGTTAAGAAACAGAGAGAAAATTGAAGAAAATGTATGCTGTAAAGAGATGAGAGACCTGCTGGCATGGGTCTGCAGCTCTTTGGCATGATCAATTAGTTCCTGTATATCATCTTCCTCAGTGGATTCCAATTTAGGGGGGATGTGAATTGGAAAGATCTGCTTCACTGAAGTACATGCTCCTTCTACTTGAAATGTTAGCATATCTGCCGCTGGGATGAGATTCCATTTGAAAGGGGCTGGGCATGGATCAACAGGCACTGGAACTCGAGATCTTCGCAGCAACCTGAAATCACATTTCACCATTATAAAGAGACAACTGACTCATAGCATTGGTTGGGATGTTAAGCAAACAGATACCGAAGCACAGAGTTTCTGAGGCTTTTCTGGCAGTCATACAACTGGCAGTCAGCCATCACAGGCACTTCCTGTCCTGGTTCTACATGCAGGAGTTGGTTGATCTTGATGCGAATGTAATCAACCTGAGAAATGAGACAAGAACCTTCTCATGGTATTTTTCCATCTGAACACACAGAAATTATGAGTATAACACAAACATCTTTGATATCATCCAAAGTAACAGTGGCATCAAATGGGACTTCCATATCGTGTTCTTCATAGATGGGAAAATGAGCATCTTTGTTGTAACCAAGCCCACAGATCAACCCAGTGTAGCGAGTCTTGCTAGGATTCCTCCTATAAGAGAAGATATGAATCAGTATAATCAAATGGCACAAGCAGCCCACAGGATTGTTTGAGAGGAAACTCAACCTGAGTTCAACAGTGGGTCCAAATAACAGGGTCACAAGGCCTGGAAGACCTCGAACAGGAAACATTATAGTGGTGTTCCCCACAACCACACGTGAGCCAGAAGGATTCAACTTCACATGCCCAGCAATTATCAATCTGATGAAACACGTATGACATGTATCCATCGAGAAAATTAAAATGGCAGTAAAGCAGTGATTATGCTGACTCACTTCTGGTAAGTGTTCTGTGGTTCCACATCCAACAGTACACTGTTCACACTGTTTCCTTCAACTGCAACACCCCTATTGATCATTGCCTTTGAGTAGGAATGTAAACTAACTTCTAGGGGACTAAAAGGTCCTCTGAAGCAGCCCTGAGGAAGAAACAAAAGAATTAATTCAAGACCTGCTCAAAATGAACTCTGTTGACAACAACTAACCCTCAAAGGATCAAGTCTGGTCTTACTGTGGCTGCCTTCTTCAGTGACAGAAGTGCTTTAGAAATGCTGTCCCTTGAGAATTCCAGTGCTTGAGCTCCCACAAGAGATGCATATGAAGTTCCTCCTGCTTGTGCCTGAAGGTTTGCACGGATCTGATTGTTTTGCTATAAAAACATGGAAACATAACTTAGCACCATCAAGAGCGAATGTAAAACACAAGCCTGTAGCCAGTTGGAATGGTATTTCACCTTAGAGAGATAGTCTTCTTCTGCTTCTTCAGCATACCCATGCTCCTTGAGTTCATCATTCAGACAAGCTCGACTTATAAGTCCTTGGTATCCATGGCATTCTCGAATTAATTCCAAATGGATCACATCATGCACCACAGAGTAGATCTAGAGGGTAAAGAAATATAAATAAAGCATCACATAAGATATCCTATAAACTCCTATCATGAAATGTGGTGCTTACCCTGCCAAAGAGCTTCAGCTCTTGTGTTTGACCATGACCATGATCATTGATCCATTCCTCAACATAATCTTTGGCCTCTTGAGACCAGATGCCATCAGGACATTTCCAAGGTGCAGGCTTCACATGTGAAAGAATGCACTCAAGTGCTTTGCATGGTAAATCCAAGATTCCATGACGAATCAGTCTATCATCCACAGCCCTGAGGTCACTCACAGGGATATACTCTGTATTACCATAATCCACAAAGAAGACCTGTAATCCAGAAAATATTATGCTGATAGCATTGCAGGCAATGAATGATTTCAATTCAACAACAAAAAAAAGATTATGCACACCTTAGCTTTCATTTGGCTTCTATCTTGACTGACTCTTTCAACTCTCCCTCTGTAGAAACTCATACATCCTTCCACATCCACATATGGGGCTATGACCACCAACTCTGGACTAATAGGTACACTAAGCTTTTTCAATTCTTTCCCTGCATTGATATTTAAGAGGTACTGCAGCTCCTCAAATGACATGGAGTTGGGCTCCTCTGATTCATGGAGTCTCACCCAGAAATGACCAGCATCTTCTACCTAAAAACCCAGGATATACACCCGTATTTACTTGTGTATAAGGTGCTTTTTGAAATACATATTTCATTGTGTTCAATGAGGGAGTGCATCTTATACTTGAGGAAAAAAATTATCTTTTTAGAGAAAAATTTTTTTTTCAGCATACCTATAACTCATTGGTCACTTATTGAGGCAGAAACAGTGTCTGCAGTTAGTCAGAACAGGGGAAATATAACATAATAATAATAAAACAGTAAACAGGGAGTGGCTACGTCGATTCACAGACTTCATTTAGTATTGGGATCAGAATCTGAGGTGTCTGGCAGCGTGGAAAATTCATTCGTAGAGCTTTCATCCTCCTCCGAGAGGCTGTTCCAGAGACAATCATTTCTCATGAAATTTTTGAGCCACTGAGGTTTTCCAATGAAGAGAAAATTCAACTTGCTTCATGAATCGCCTCCTCATGTTGCACTGAATTTTCTATGGGAGATCCCGTTTGCTCTTGAATTCGTACAGGTGCACGTCTAGATCACTCTAGTTTTACACAGACCATCCTTTTGAGGCCAAAAACTGGCAAACAGTGCCAGAATGAAACGAAATGTTTATGTGGTATGCTTCATCGAGGATTTTACTACAGAAGTACGGACTCACTCTTTCACGTATTCGGCTACTTCCTTCTTGATTACCGGAAATGATCCCTCTTTCCCCACGAAAGGCTATGAGATTCTTTAGAGCCTGGCTCAATTTTGCCTTCACCTCCATCCACTTCCATATGCAGCTTTCCTCAATGTCATACTTACGACCTATTGCACGGATGCCAAACTTCTTTGCTTCCCGAATCACATCAATTTCTCTGTAGCTATGTAACTTTGCCATACATTTCCATCAATTTTCATGGATAATAAAACGAATGTTAGGGATACTGAGGGATGACTGACCCTCCTCAATAAAGGTCAGGACAGTGAATAAGAAACATGATTCAACTGACCTCAAGACTGGCTTTACCCCTTATTCACCTCCCTTTTCCTACACTTTCTGCTATGGAATAGGGGGATGCACCTATTTTTTTACACAAATTGGGACCTCAAAAGCAGGGGTGTGTCTTATACACGGTGGCGCACTATACTCAAATAAATATTGTATATATTTTGAGTTAAAAGAAACATTTCTTTGATATCTACAGAGCACCCACAAAAGGCTGCTGCACATGGTTCAATGCATTGGACAGATGGTCATTAGATGGAAATGTGCATCTGATTTCCATTCCAAGCATCCAACAGGTCAGAGACATTTGAAGAGAATTAGATGCGGTTGCACATAATCAAACTTTCCTTCTCTTACACTCCTCTGGCAGAAAATTGGATTGTGTGCAGTGGCCTTCATACACAGGGTTCACACTAACTTTTTTAAATCTTGAGTCCTGGCACCCAGCTTCAGCTTGGTGGAAACATGTTCAGGTGGTTGTCAATGAGTCCCACAGACTTAGATGTTTTGCAAATATGAGTCCCTCCAAGAAAATATGAGTCAGGGACTCGCTATAGTGAGTTAACATGAACCCTGACTCACTAAAAATTGCCTTAAACTTACATGTTGCATATGAACATGAATGGCACTCCTTTCAGGAGCTGGAAAGATGGGGTCAGGGAATTGAATGTCAGCTTTTTGGGTGACAGCCATGAGGCTCGTGCGTAGGCCAAGGTTTGCCCATGAGGAGGAACTTGCATCACTTCCACCACTGTGGCCCAAGGTTTTCTTCCTCTGCTCATCTTGAAGTTGCTTCAGTTTCTGGGCTGCCTCTGCTTCACTACAGAAAAAAAACATTAGTTTTCTACATAAAAAGGTAATGTAAAAATGTAAATGAAAAGATGCTGCAGTATTTGCTACTACCTGAAGAGATCAATCTCAAAGCGTTTCCTAGATGACCTTGTTTTGACAGAAAAGTAGACATCTTCATGAACTAACTGCATCTCCCGAACCTTTCCCTTGTTACCCAGGCAAAGCTGACCAGTCGCAGGATCGAGAACTCGCTGCAGAGGGTCTGTGAATTCCACATATGCTCTGCAAATGAAAGCCCCCAATTTTTATTATTATTATAGAAATGAAAAGATTTCTCCAATTGAACAGAAGTTCAGAACAGAAGAACAGTTTATACCTGGTGCAATCAAAATATACCCGCATTTGATCAGAAGAGATCATATCAAATAAGCGTTTCTTAATTTGGTTTTCATACAGAGGTCCCTGCTCATTCGGCACACCATGAATGACCACTGTGTTGAGATAATTGAGGCCACGTACACCACGAATAGCCATTTCTTCATCAGCCTGACCTGGGTGGAAGTAGTAAGGATAGAAGGCTCCAGCAATCACCAACTAGAAAAAGCAGAAATAACTTGATTGTTTCGCTGATACTTCTGATTAGATTATTAAAAAATTCACATAGCAAGAGACTAGTTGATCACCTTGAGGATCATACTGTCTTCCACATCAAAACGGTGAGGATCTGTGTAAGGACGTCTAGGAACCTTGAGGTTCAGCTTGTCGAGATGCATATTGAGTTCATCAACCAGTCTATCTGTCTCCTTGAGTGCACGCAAATTAATATAGCCCCTTTCAGCCCAAGCCTTCTCATTGTCTTGTCCTCTTCTTTTGAAGCTGAAGGTTCCTCTCTTGCATTGCAATTTCCATTGCTGCAAAATGCAGAATGCCAAGTTGCAGATTGTCATGTTACCTAAATTTAATGTGGCCTCAAATAGCAATAGAAGAGCAGAATAACCTCACCTTGTAACAATTGAGGCATGCTAAAGGATCACTGAAAGAGTTCTGGGCATACAAGAACTTCATAATGTATGATCTCACTTGCTCATGGAAAGGTATTGTGAAGAGATCTCCTTTTTCCATAGCTGCACCTGAGGCAGGGAATTATGAAAGGCATGAGAAGTACCAGTACCTGCTACAAAAAAGCAGGTACACCTGCTATCATTTCATCATGCTCTAAACTGCAGTCATTCATAGCGCTCCAAGACTAAAAGCCCTTGTGCCTGTTCCATTTTAAACTAGATTCACACATTCAACTTCAGCATCTATGCTGTGGTACTTGTTTGATATCAATAAACCTTGATAGATGCTTACTCTATGGTCTTTCCCAAAAGACTACAAGAAAAATCTAAGAAAAAAGGTTGGGCACTATCACACCTTCCAGAGGCAGTTCCATACACTCAACAATCATTGATAAGTCCCACAGAAAATGGATAGTGTTTTTCCAGGATAAAATCTTCCAACTGAATAATAAAAAAAACTGGTCAATAAGTGGCCTATCAATTCCCACAAATATATTATAAAAAAAGGTTACAATTTTACAGTGAAAATAGGATGGTATGTGCCAAACAAAATAAAAAAAGGAAAAGCCAAACCAGTATGAATGCAAGCTTAATGACAGGTGGCAATACTGAAATGCCTTTCAAAAGGTGCCAATATGATACTGGTGCATACTACACTTAACATTCCAGACCCATGGTCAACTGAAGTCAACTTTGAATGTGGCAGTCTGATAGCGCACTCCAGAGACATTCAGCAAGTTGCTATTGTAAATAGCATCTTGATCCACCACATAGGTCACAAGAACTGTCATGGTGGCTATAGCTGGGAGGAGACTCAGAAGTCTCTTTGGGAGAGCTTGACAACCTGACTCTGACTTATATGGCAGCTTACCAATGACAACTGCATCTGACAGAACACCAAAACAGTGGCCAAGCACTATGAGACGGGCAATATGGAGATCCACAGGAAGACTCTGCATCACTTGACCCATAAAAGTTAGTTCTCCATCATATGGATCCTTCTTTCCATCTTTTTCAAGTGTGATTGCTCCAACCTGCCATATACAGAGCAATGTCATTATAATAAATCAATAAAAACAGCCAGGGGACTGGCCTACTTTGCTCAAGAAATACCTGAGTACCTAACACCACTACCTCCCTCCCCTCAACTCAACCTAGCAGGAATGGAGAAACAAACATGTCACTGTTTGAATTTTTATACCTGTAGATTGGTAATTCCTACAGTCATATAAGTTTCAAGATCTACTGCACCTGCATCTTGTTCCCCACAAAACATTTTTCAGAATTTTCCCATCCCAGGTTAAGCCACAGAAGTACTTTGAAGGTTGCAACTAAAATATTACAAAATCCTTACCCATTAGTCTCTCACCAAAAAAGGTAAAACAATAATATACCTCATTGCTTTTGTGCCAACTTGCATCAGTTTTGGTCACAGTGCTGCCCTAAGGAGACAGACCATTTTTTTAATTATTGATGTAAGTGTGCACTGACCTCATTCAGAGTGATTCCTCCATGGATCCTACGATTCAACGCTATCATTCAGGCATAGGGATGGTTCATTTGCCAATTTCAGTGAATCTCCACGGACTCACAGAAACTTCCAAATGTTTTACTTGCTAACTTCAAAGTGTTTTTGTGGTTAAAGTATATGCAGGGGGAGGGGAATTCTGAAAGAATTTCCTACAGACACAATGTAGGTGCATATATCCTGGAACATACATAACAGTAGCAATGAATGACTTCCTAATGTAAAAATTCAAATCGAGGTACATTTTTTTCTCTGCACCTGGTAAAAAAAAAAAAAAAGGAAATGGAATATAGGGATGTGATCCAACATGACACCAAGAAGTGATTCCATGCAACTAATGAAAACTCAACAGAGTACCAACTTGATTGGGTATACATGTTTATCTATCCAGCTTACTTTACGCTCTTTCAGTGAACTGCCAACAAAATAGACGAAAATGCAGAATCAAGCAAGGTAAAGGTAGGGCAAACAAATTTGAACCTAAACTAATTTATCTCTACTCTTACTGAAGCTGAAGCACTTACATGACAAATATATAAGATCCAAGATTCTTTCCAAGATTTAACAAATTCTTTGTTTTTCTCCAAAGAAAAGGTGAGACATTTCTCAAAATAAATCAGAAATTTAAAATTAATGGGAACCTCTGATCCCAGCAGAATGCTTATTCTGCTTCCTTCTTCAATCTAAACAAAAGGCAAATCTCAAGAAGGGTAGTTCCAGAGTAATTGGGACAAAAGAGGTGAAACATTTTCAAAAATTCCCTCCAACTTAATTTTTCTGAATTGTATGGAAAGTAAACTAAAATTAAATAAGGGATCCACTAATCATACATCACCTGACATGAGATGGTTTTCCATTTCTCCTGCAGCACTCCATTTTGATCAATTTAACACTTGCTTCATGAACCTTGTTTTGGACAATTTTGTTGTCAGTAATGCTGGAAAACTCTCCTAACCACTTCATTTTTTTATTATCAACAACAAATGCCATTTGGCATGAAGAAAGGTGATGGTCTATGCCTTCTTTCTTGAAAATATGGAAACTCAAAATCAAGCCAAATCAGACAGAATTGGAAGGGAAGCAGCAGAATGAAAACTTTTGTTTAAACTATGTCATGCCCAAGGTGAGTAAATTCTGCAAAGAAGGCTGCATGGGGAAATCATTCAATTCATTGTAAAAACAGAGCATTGCACTTTTGTGTCCAACATCAGAACTGCTTTGAGGAGTACCATCAGGCATGAGGGAATGAGTATCATTGTTGTCATAAAGTAATTAATAAAAAAAATCTAGTGTGTTATTGCTTCATCTATTACTTGGATTCTGTTTTTCTTAGTTTATTTTGTGTATTTCATGCAGTGACCCCATGGCCATTTCAGTGGCTGATCCACCATGCAAAAATGAAAAATCTGGGACAGGCAGGGACTGTTTGGCATTCATTCTGGCACCATCCCTGGCATGGAACATCACATGTGACACTTGTTGACCAGACCAATATTTGTGTGATTGGAGGTGGTTAAGGTTACAAACATCATTTAGTAAATGAACAAATCATCTTGTTTAGGACAATATCAGTACTGATGACATGTGTACTGCAATACAAAAAAGAATGAATGGCAGGATCCCTAGGATTTTCACACTTAATATTTCTTACTTCCATTTATAGGTACCTACTTCCTTCAGATTGAGGATGGCGAGCTCAATTCTCTCAACAGGAGGAGGGGTTAAACAGACACCAAGAAGGGCTTTAGGCTCCCCCATATCAATGGCTTTCACATTCAGGATGGGTTTATGCAAAGCCCTATGAAGGATTTCTGGTTCCTCCTCCATTGGAAGTTCCTGAAACCAAGAAGAGGTTATTTTTTTGAATGCCCATCCACCACTAGGAAGAAAAAAAATAAAGCATTTCTCACTGCATAAAGCTTGTATGGATACATATGGTATGCCCGTCCAGAATCTACTCTTCCAGCACGACCTGTTCGCTGGGTGATGCTATGCTTGCAGGCCCACTCCAGTTGTAAGTACTCAAGACTGGTTTCATTTTCACACTTGGATCTCTTAGTCAAGCCAAAGTCAATCACTGAGAACAGATAACCTTCTCATTCATATATCTTCTATTTCATACCTTTCATGGACTTCTGCTGGACTCACCATATTTGATGTCGGGTATTGTGATAGAACTCTCAGCTATGTTGGTTGCAAGTATGATCTTGCGGAAGCCTCTAGATGGTAGTTCAAAGGCTTTAACTTGCTGATCCTTAGAAAGACTTGAGTGCACAGGGATAACAATCCACCTGTAAACAGTTCCTTTCCTAGCATACTATGAAACAAGGACTTGGTTTGGACCCTTGAGATCATTAGAACATAAAGAACCATGCATTTCTAGAACAAAAACTTTCATGAATACTTGAGAAAGAAGCACACATACTTCTTTACAGTGGTATGTTCTTCCAGGCGTTTTGACATGTTGTGAATTTCTTCAATGCCAGGAAAGAACATGAGGACTGCTCCTCTTTCAGAAGCAAATTCAGCATTTGCTGCATCTTCCTCCTTAACTTCAAAGCGATCAAAGTAGACTAACACAAGCTTCAATGCCATCTGGTAAACTTCCTCTTCGATTCCAGGAGTTTCCAAGGAGAATGTTGGCAACTGAATCAAAGAACCAAAAATTTTATGGATTGGTAAGAAACTCAAATGCATAATATTGCCATGCACTCATGATAGTTTCAAGATAAAAATCACTCATTACCAAAAGAAGCAACACCATAGAGATGAGTGACCTGTACGAAATTCAGTTTACAAGTTTGTAGCATTGTGTCATGAAAATAAATTAGGATTTCAAGGATGAGGGATGAATCTTCACAAATAAAACTGGGCAAACACTTGGCAAATGAGAGCAGTGGGGATTGTACTAATCATAAAAGAAATGATAAAAAGGAGTTTCTTAATGATATGTGGAACAGGAACTCTTGGAAGATTTGTAGAAAAATCCAGCAAAGTTTATAAGTCATAGGAATAGGGCATCCAAGGAATGGAGGAAGAGGAGGGTACCACTGAAGAAGCAATTTGCACAGAATATTTTCAGCAAGTACAACTTGCATTCAAAATATATACTTTAATACTCATCAGAGTTAAGAGTAAATTTGTTCTGTAAGTGGGTAATATTTTGCTGAGAAAGTCTTAAAGAAGAATTCAGATGGAATAAAGAAATTGATGCTCCTGAGGTAGTATTTTGTTATTTGAAGTTTTTAAATGGAGCAGTTTGCATCATGCTCACCAGTTCATCTCACTGGCTTCCAGTCAATGAGAACCAGAGCAACAGGCAAACCTGATCCCAATTGGGGTCAAGTTGAACCAAATATATCCCAATTGCTGCGAACTTGAACGATCCCAAAATCAACTCCTTGTGAATTTTTTAACTTGAACTTGGTGTGAATTCAATCACAAACCAAACTTGATTGTTAGATAAATATTAAAAACTGAAATGAAAATATATTCAATGAGAGTACACTCAATCCATATCTGAATGCCCTTAACCCCTTTCCTACGGATGGCGTATATATATACGATTTATTATCTTGATTTTCAAAGTTGTAGAGCTATGATGAAAATCATAGCTCTACCTGTTTCTCTATACTTTCCTACGGATGATGTATATTTACGTCATGGGACTTAGCGCTTGGCTGAGGCTGGAATAATACCGGTGGGATGCTGGGTTGGCTCAGTCAATCCCGTGGTCAAGGGGTTAACACAGGTTTGTTGAATCTGTACACAGTGTTGGGTGCATTACTTGTGAAAAGTAACAAGTTAAAATTACAAGTATTCAACCCAAAAAGTAATTAGTTACCAGTAGAATTACTTCTCACCAAATATAACTAGTTACAAGTAGAAGTTACTTTTCCTGAACAAAAATTCTGATCTTTCTACAGCTTCTGCATCTCTTTGACAGAAGCTGGATGCATGAAAGCAAAAGTTACCTGATTTCTTAAAAACTGAATTATGATAATTTATATATATATATATATATATATAGACAATATATATATAGACAATCATGAGTGACAGTGACTGACACTATTTCTAACCATGTTCTGGAGGAGCTAGAAATTTGAAACTTGGTACATATGAGGTACATTTAGAGTTCAGAAAAATCTGACTTTGGAGGTACATGCCCTGGGGGGCATCCATTTTGGGGGGAGGTGTTTCCAAAGATATATATTTGCTTCAGTCAAACGAAGAGACATGGAAATATGAAAATTGGCAAGGACATGCCTACTGAGATACTCAGTTCAGGAAAAATGTCAATTTTCAGATGTATGTCCTGGGGGTGACGTTTAAAAAAACATTTTTTTCCCTCCTACCAAATTGGGCAAGGATAGAAAGGTGAAACTTGATAAATGAGTACCTATTGGGAACCTGAATTCAGAAATATTCAGACTTAGGAGGAAAATGCCCTGGGGCAAAAAATTTTAGGGAGAGATATTTTCAAGAAAATTTTTTTTGCTGCAGTAGAACGAATAAACATGGAAAGTTGAAACTTGACATGGACATCCCTACTGAAACTTTGAGTAAAGGAAAAATGCCAAGTTTCAGGTGCATGCCCTGAGGGCATATTTCTGGGGGTCAAGTTTTTTCAAGAAATACTTTCTTGTCCTACCGCATTGGGAAGAAATATAAAACTGAACCTTGGCGTGCCAATAACTGAGGAAATGTTGAGTTCAGAAACAACAAAAGTTTGCAGTACATGTACAGTACAGTGTTAATTCTTAGGGAAAACCCCTCAGCTAATTTTTTGCAAAAGGTGCATTTTCCAAAATCCTTTCTGATCCAATGAAAGAGAGATCTAAAGAAACTTGAAACTTCAAATAATCAGAGTAACTATTCTGACGAAAATATCAGTTCGTTCTCTCTCGGCACTCGTTTTGACAGGCACAAACTTTTCAGACTTTTTAGCCACTTTGAAAATAAGCTGAAGAATGAATCACTAACCTGGACAATGGAGCACCAGGATATGCAGGTATATGCCTCCAGGGCGTATTGATGCATGGTGCCATTCAAAATGAATTTATTTCACTTCAGCCAAAACAAAGACGTAGAAAGTTGAAAATGAATGTGAAAGTGCCTATTGATGTGCTGATTTCCAAGAAAAATTCAATTTTCTGAAGTATGCCCTGGGGTCACATTTTTTCGTGCAAAAGTTTGTTTTTTTTCTTTCAGTCAAAGGGAAATACATGAATAGCTAAAAATGAGTAAGAATGCGGTTAGTGATATGCTAATTTAAAGAAAATTTTCACTTTGGAGATGTATTCCCTGGGGGGCACTATTTTTGTGGGGACGTTTCCAAAAAAAATGTTGCTTCAGGGAAGCGGATTTTTATATAAGACTGGGATAAACTAATCGAAAGAAAATTTTCATTTTTTTGTAAGCACCCTCAGAGTGTATATTTGGGTTGCAAAAATTTCTCATAATTGTTTTGCCATCATACTAGAAGTTATTTGTTTAGGGGGGAGAATGAGTCAACTCAGAAGCACAATTTCGCTCAGAGAAAGCTGGTTCGTATTGTCTTGCTATAGAAGGCGCTGTATTGAGGATGAACTCTAAAGTTACAGTTCTGGCGCTATGAAGAATCTCTATTTGATTCATGTTCCTAACATCAGATTGAAAATCACTTCACACAAGCAGGAGTAGCTTAAACTCATGATAAAAAATCCCAGTGATCCAAGGAATTTTACAGAATTTGTAGTTATGAGAATCGAAAAGGGATGCTTCAAATATATTATTATTAACATTTTATGGAGTGAACCGTGCTGCGTTCATAGCGAGTTTGTTTGCCTGCTCGCTATGAACTAGCAAATTCGCTAGTAATTCATAATGATCATAATTCAATTTTTATTTCCAGTATCCATTTCATGACCAGCTAGGCTGAACTGACTGAATATGACTGAATACTTATGCTCACTCTTTTCCCTATGCCTCTTCCCTTCCCATGGGAACAGGAATTATATGCTGATAGTCAGAATGCACCCTTTAGTTTAAAAAAATGCCATTTTGCCATTGGTGGTGGAAAGACCTACCCCAGCCTGCCCCTCATGAGTTCCAGATAAAAAATAGAATAGAAAAAACCAGTCACATTCTCTTGCTTCCCCTTAACCAGTCATGGGCTGTACAAATCCAGTCTATACAGTGATTGAAAATTAATTTTCACTAATTTTTTTACAATGTAAATGGTATTTTTATGCACATTCATGGAGATGAGGGTGTTGGACCATGAAATATGGGGATTTGGATCTGAGGCATTCATGTTAAAAGTGGCACAAATTCACATGCAAATAACTGTGTGTTAAGTTAGGTTCTGCACTTGGAAGTGCAAGTGCTAGGCCTAAGTATTAACGGAGTCTAACTAATGATGGATCATTGGGAGGGTGATAAACCGAGTACTTGAAATATGGCAAGGTATACCCACCTGCCGAGCCTAAAGGGGATTGGACAAAATTATGGAGAGAGGTGCCAATGTTCGGCATACAAAAGGTTTCCATGCAGATGCATTATCAGAACCAAAGCAACACCTATCATTCAGACCTAACGATAGACCCAAGGTTGTCTGTATGGAGTCAGAACATGATGGAGCTCATTTAGACATGGTTTCTCAAATTAGATGCTGAAGTTCATGTGAGGGAAAGCACCTAGGTCATCAGTAAACAGAGAGCACTTCACACATAAGTTTGCATCGATGCAGCGGTGTATTTGAGTAAAGAGGGTCAGGGCAACAGAGCCAAACTCCAACCAAGCAATATTGGGAGGGAAAAGTATTACCTCTAAGGGGGCACCAGGCTTTGTCTCAGGGACTCCAGGGGGGATGGGGGCTGCCCCCCCCTGTAAAATATGCCACTACATTGATAGAACTCTCAAATTCATTCCTAATCTCCTGCACTTCCAAATATTTTTGCAGGTATGGCCAAAAACCTGCACTGAATAAACCATGAGGCAATTTCATGTCCCCGCCTTTCCTCTGAATTTTTCATCAATTAGGATGCATGTCATCATAAAGCACTGGTTGTTTTAAGCAAAATTAGGTAATCATCAAGAAAAGGAACACATAACAGTAACACCACCTACTTTTCCCATGAAAAAGGAACTAGTTTTACCAGTTCTGTTACCCTCCCCTGAAAAGTAACTTGTTACCAAACAAGTAACTGAAAAAAGTAATTAGTTCCTGTAATGCATTACTTTTACTTAGTTACCACTCAACACTGTCTGTACATTAGGCTCCCAACAACTGCTAAGAATGCTACAGCACCTGTGTCCATATGCCTTAGAGCTTTTCATTGTTATATTCAGAGCCCAAGGAAAGCCACATCATTTTGAAAGAAATATGTTCAATATGTGTTACTATGTACTCATTTAAATACTTTGCATATGAAGCCATATATCCAAACTCAAGTAATACTCTGTGCATGGGCTTCATCATGATTAAGAGAACTTCTGACATGTCTTGCAGCATTCCTTCATTAACTTCAAGGGATGATTAACCATTCTAGGAAAGGTTCAGAATAGACCAAATTACTTGCAACTATCGCATGAGATAGTCAACAGCTCTTATAGAATGACAGTGCATGAGCAACATGGCAGTCCATTCCTTACTTCTGTTGAACTTCACTTGGCTTCCAAAAATCATTCAATGATTGAGTCATTGCCGAAGATTTAACATGGTTTAAGTTTCTTTTTTTCAATATCTGCAGCAAAATAGAGGGAATTTAAGATTGTGAAGTACATCGACTACCCTTTAAAAAAAAATTGTTATAACCTGTTTGATTCTGTGATCATATTAGTGCAAAGGAAACAACTTTATAAACACTTAAATTTTTTCTGAGTGAACATTTGTCAAAGCATATATTTCCTATTTATTAAGTTGTTTAAGAGTCATCAAAATGGGATGATAGAAGACCTCCAGAATTGAAATAAATTGCCCTATTTTCCAGGAGCATCAAATTGGTGATGAAATTTCAATGTCCACAATTGGAACTCTGATAAAACATGTGGGAGAAAAGCTGACAGTCGTGAAAAAGTGTAAAAATTGACAAGGGATAGTGACAAACCTCTCCATGAGAGGCCAACTGCCTCAAATCTTCAATCCAATGCTCACGCACATCATGCATCTTCCCTTCAATATGAATGATTTGAGCTTGATCCAGCTCCAGTCCAACAGGGATAGAGAAGTACTTTGCAAAGCGATCAGCATTCATTGTGGCTGACATTATCACAATCTATGATGAAGAAATCCACAGTCATTGAAGAAGTGCTGCCTTATACAGGGTGTCTAAAAAAAAAAAGAAAAGTTAACACTGTATTATATTAAATTTGAATGAAAATTTGTATGGCTGTTAAAATGAAGAGAGATATGCTTTCAATTGCTGAAGTTTGCATGATCAATGAACTCAGAGGCAAGATACAGAAAGACAAATTTTACATAAGAAAAATACAGAAACATGCTGGCAAACCACTGCAGCAGCCTAAGCAAGAGAATTCAGCAAGGCAAGCACTCAAAGGTGCTAGTGCTCCACAAGGGTACTGCCAGGAGACTCTTCACTCTTTGGTGGTTCTTGGGCTCCCATGTTGACAGCAAAGATGCAGCAGGATTCATTGAATGAAAGAACTTATGAAAGATGGGTCACCAGACCCATCTTTCAATCTCCCCTTACACACCTTGAACATGTCCTTTGGTGAATATGTTTATATCTATTTTAGTCTATTTTCCTCTGTACAATATCTTGCTTCAAAAATGGTCTATTTCCATGTGCTTTTCAATAGAAGAAAGTTTAATCTCTTCTCTTTCTAACTGACACAAAAATTGTTTACTCAAGTCCAATGTAATTCAAGAAAAACCCATTATTACTGAGTTAACATTTTTTCAGACACCCTGTATATGAGATAGACAGAATGGGGGGAAAATGTTTCACCTTCACACTGCGTGAGACAGTACGCTGAAGCAACTTGACTAACATCATGGTAACATCCATGTCCAAGTTGCGCTCATGGACTTCATCAAGAATAATATGAGTGAACTCATTCATTGTCTTTCGATGAGATAGCTTCCTCATCAGGATCCCTGTGGTTACATACAGAAGGCGTGTGTCTGGACTTCGGAATTCACGGTCCAGACCAACCTGAAATGCATGAAAATATAGAAGGGAAATATAAGCATCCACATGATTGGTGAGTTGAAACAAGTCCATCCTTTCCATTTGAGTGAAAGTGAAAAATAAATTTTTCTTCATCTAGTCCTTACTTGTATAGTGATGGCATACAATCTCACCTGATAGCCAACAAGGCTGCCCAGTTCCCATCCCCGTTGTTCAGCCACATGACTGGCAACTGTAATGGCTGCAATCCTCCTTGGCTGTGTGACAATAATGTTACAATATTGCCTCCTACTGTGTGCATCTTCAAGAATGAATTGTGGAATCTGAGTTGTCTTTCCACAGCCTGTGAAACCTTCAATTATGACCACTGGATATGCAGCAATATGGGCCAAGATCTACGAGCAAACAAAACCAAAACATTAGCAGCCGAACATGTTTTCTGATGAAAAAGATGCTAATGGCTCACTTTGTCCTTGTATCTGTACACAGCCAGTTGCTGGGCCTTGACAGATTTTTTGCTGAAAGAGTAATGGTCATATATGTATGCAGTGTTTTCATCCAGTTCCCGAACAGTCTCATTGGTTGTGCTGGCCAAAGTTGATTCTTCCAACTGATTCATTCCTCCTCTGGACCTTGGAGCACTGCTCTCAGAAATTCTCTTCATCACATCCTGCATAACATTTAATCTACATGATGTCAGATTGATCCTGTTCCATACAAGGGTGTAACCTAATGCAAAATTGGTTATCTCTGGAATTCCATAGGACTGCATTATATTGGAATGAAGTTCACAGAGCTTTAACTGGAAATGTCCTGAAATTATTTATCATCATCAAAAACTCAATTCACTAAACAATAATTAACCTTTTATTTCACCAGAGCAGATTAGGAGGGGTGACAGATTTTGACATGTTCTCAATTTAGATACACAATTATAATTTTTTTTAAAGTAGGCACTGTAGAAATCCTGGAATCAAATGCTCACATAAGGGGACATCATGCATTAAAGGTATATTTCAATATAAATTTTTATGAAATATGATACTCACCAGCATTCATAATATTCTATTTTGTTTGTGGATGTTTACAATAAGCCCTCAGTGAGTCCTTTTCAAAAGTATCTTATTACATGTTTTTTCCTGCATGACCAGCAGTATCAGATGCAAAACTCAATGGATCTCCATTTCTGAAATGAGCTTCTGGCAAGTGACATTAGAACTGATGGATGAGGGTTTGGCAACTCACACTGATAACTGCCTGTTCATGTACCAGCCCTCCATATTGCTTCCCAGCACTGGCCCCACCACTACATTTGTATGTGGGAGTTTGTCTTTCAATGGTTGTCTTTTGTATGATCCCTTTGTTCCCTGAAAGGAATGAAAATATTTCCTCATCTTATGAAACATAAAAAGTATAAATACACAGAATCAAATGAAAAGGATTCTGACCAGTGGTGCTGCCAACTAATTCTCTCTTCTGAATGGTTTTTCCCAAATCAAAATAGTCTTGAATATCTTGAAGTGACATCTTTAAATCCTTACACAGAAGTATTCATTGCACTGAGGCCATTCATGCACTAACAGCAGAGACCACTGTAGGAGCTTCCAGTGTTTGTCAGTTCATCTAAAATGTTTTAATTCAAGTCACATCTAGACATTTTTTTATATTCATGTATTCAGGCTGATAACCTTTGACATGAAAAAGCAAGGAAAACCCAGGCATAGAAAATAGACACAAACCATCTATTACATTGTGATTCTTTAAAAAATAATTTGGCAATTCATTGCACTATGCTTCTCCAGGTGCTAATAGAGCAGGGGTGCACAACATACGACCCATGAGATACTTGCGCATGACCCTTCATGACTGTGGGCAATGTAAGAGCTACTTGGGCTCCTGCCCTGTTAGACACAGCTATGTCAGCCAGACTGCTGTCCATTGTAGGTGAGTAAAAATCACAAATTGCACTCACAGCCTTTTGAGTTATGCACGAGTTTGAGTTGCATGTATGAGGAACTTGACAAAAGGAAATGAGATCAAAGGCATCTCCCTTTTGCTGATCATATTAATTCCATTTTCTTACAACACTTCTGAGAGCAAAAAAAAATTGTTGGGGTTCTTGAGACTCATGTTATACTATAATAAAAGGACACAACCTCTGGGAGTCAATTTTCAGAAACATATATTTGCCTTATTTGAAGAAAGATCTAATCATAAGTTAACTCCCATGTCAAATATTGCATTGTCTATTTGTAATTGACATAAAAAAAAAGGATTTCACATTTTGAAAACTTTTCCCCTATGTCTGTGGAATGGAACCCATACAATTAATCACATCATTGAAGTCTAATCTCTACTGAAGCTTCATGGTCCCTACATTTCCAAAGAGGTAATGAAAGCATAAGAGCACCCTTTAACCTGTTCGCGGGCATGGACCCTTATATGGGTTTTAAAATTTAGCGTGCTTCGAAACATACCATACGCAAAAGCACTTCTGACAGTACCAGTAAGTAGAAAATTTGTGTACATGCTTATATATATTATATATAAAGTGTCTACATCACATACATGAAGAACATGAACAAAAAATACTCTGAAGGAGCATGTTTTCTGAAGGTGTTGGAAAGTGTGAAAAAACTGGCCCTTTAAAGGGTTAAGAAGCACATGAGAGCAGGAATATTTCCTTGAACTACACTCTCAACTGAATGCAATTCATGTGCTGCTTAGGAAACCTCCAAACTGAAGCAGTTTACACCTGTAACTTTGAAAAATGTCAGTACCTGACGAATTTAAGGGAGTCTGTACTATTTCTGTTAATGAAGTCTCCAGAACCAAAACTGTCCAGAGTCATGTCCTTGAAGAAGAAATGCTACAATTTTTTTTAAGAGATGCAACAAATCAAATTTGATAGATTATGAATATTTAGCCATCACAGGAGACTTAATACCAAGGTATTCAGCACCATAAACAAATTATTTTCAAGGAACTAATTATTTCAAAGTGAATGAACTAAGCTTCATAAAAGATTCATGCACACTCTCAAGGCATTATTCAACTAAGAGGTGACTACAAATTTGCCAACATGACTAGTAATGGCAAAGTAACAAGGTTCCTGATTGTCAGCTTGAGTGCCCAGTTATAATTCTCATCTGCTTGAGTAATTTTTTCCTAGTTATTTATTTTCCCATCATATTCCACCTTAAAGAGAGTTTATCCTTCAGCAGCTAAGCACAAAATTTCACCTTTACCAGTAAGAATACTAATCTGAAGAAAGTGCAAATGTGAAGCTCTAGACATTTTAGGAGGGCAAGAATTTGCCTATTTTTCAACCTGAATAATGGGAGAGGAATATTCATATTTGCACCAGAGAGTTGAGATTCTCAGATACCTGATCCAAAGGTGAATATTCCTAAATATTATTTTTCAGTTTTAAAAATATTGCACTCCTGGAAATTCAAATGCATGTTTACCCTTTCATTAGAACTTCAACAAGGTGTTTCTCTTGGTTGGAAGGATGGAAAGGGGCTTTAAAATGAGAAATTCCAAAAGAAAAATGCATAGATTATTAGTCTTCTTTCAATCAGAAATCTAAAGAGAAGCAACAATGAGAATGAAGAGTAAGGAGATTTTAAAATTCTTTCCTCATCTGAACCACTATTGCCTCAGTTGTCAAAGTGATATGATGAGACTAATTTCAAGGTTTTTGCAAGTCATTTTAAGAATAAGCAAGATCAAAAAGGAACTTTTCTTTTTAACCCCTTGATCATGGGATTGACTGAGCCAGCCCAGCATCCCAACGGTATTATTCCAGCCTCAGCCAGGCGCTAAGTCCCATGACGTAAACATACATCATCCGTAGGAAGGTATAGAGAAACACATATGAAGAACAAAAAACAGATAGAGCTATGATTTTCATCATAACTCTACAACTTTGAAAATCGAGATAATAAATCATGTATATATATGTCATCTGTAGGAAAGGGGTTAATAGAACCCAGGAGTAAACTTAATATTTATTCAAATGGAGAACAATCGAAAAAAAAAATAAATAAATAGGAAAGCAGATGAAATACTCAGTTGATGACTGAACTCAGCCTTGAGGCTACATGTCTTGCACAGATTTTTAGGTGCATCCCTACATTTATTATGGTTTCCCATTCTCAAAATGATGTACACAAGAAGACTACACCATCGATTTTATTCTTGCTGGCATTATACTTAATACCCATCAACAACTCACTGAGGTTTTCCACCTTATTGTTTGAACAAAATTACCATTGCAAAATGGATCTTTCTGATGGAACAGTCTGGGCAATAACAAAGTAGAAACAAAAGTCTGTCATCATTTCACAAAAAGAAAGACTCTTAGGAGAGGACTCTCAAGGTGAAGCATGGTGACTTGAAATGGCAAGGCAACCAGGGAAAGATTTTTTTACTTACAAGTTGATGCTACAGAAAGTGAAATTGTCTTTTGTGCTGCAAAATGATTACCTCTGACCACAGGGACACTTCCAGTTAGCAATAATTATCAAATATAATACTCATTGCAAGTCAACTCACAATTTTTTAGTAACCCTACTTCCTGGTAACCAAAATCAGACAGACAATTTGAGAAAATGTTTTACAGTACTGGGAAACTTTCAAGAAATCCTAAAACAGAGACACTCATTTCTGGACTAAGAAACAACAGGGTATGGGAATACCATCAATCCACAAATAGCTCAAATCTATATGATGTGTCCTTTTCAATTCTTCAACTCAACAGCCTCCTGAAAAGGAAATGACATATTCAGGATAAAAGTCCTGATCATGGTACTTGACAAAGATCAATGGAGATCTGATATTATCAACTGTTGTTTCACACCCTGTAGGAGGCATTGTCAGGTGGGAAGAGCCAACAGCACACTTTCCCACCAGCACTCTCATGAGAAGCATATATCTCTCATGTTTCTGTGAAGATAAAGCATAACCTGCAGATACTGAGGCATCCCTTGCAAAGTAAGTTCCTTGTCCATACACCTGCCCAGCATTTCTTCCATGTCGCCGCCAATCAAGGTTGTTGGAGCAAATATCTTGGACGTTCTCATGCTTTGTACCATGCCATAAATATCTCTCATTCAATCTCTCTGGATCCTGATTATGCAATTTGAGCAAGAGATCTCGACGATTCTGGTACATTTCCCATAAGTATGGATTTTGGACTCTCTCGATGAGGTTGAGAGTGAATTGGGGAGAAAGGTAGCTGGCCACTCGTAAGTATTCATCTGAGGAGTGGTCAATAATGACTCTCCTGACCAACTGTACATCAGGCATGGGTTCCCAATGACAGGGAAAGTGTTTTCTTCCACTTACAGGATCACTGACCATGTCAAAAAGTGGAGGTCGAATTGCAGATGCTCCAGCCTGAGAGGCAAGAGAAAAAAAAAGGCAATGAGATGGTCTGTAAAAAATGAGAGCTCCTTGAATGGCACTAATAGCTGAAAGACTAACAGGGTGAGATATCCTCTTATTCTTCTTGCTCTTCTTGGGTGGTGGAGGAATCAAACTAGATGAAGCAGATGCAGATATGGAAATAATAGGGAGGTGAGACTTGCAGTGTGTCTTACTTGTAGGTTTCCAGAGCTTGCACCTAGGGACAGAGAACCATTTCCAACTTCATATTTTGCATTATTCCCTGACCATACAAACATCATGCTCTTATCTGAAGAAGAAGAAAAGTATTCTGAAAGTTGGGCAAGTCCAAGCCAGCATCTGCATTCTTTAATCCATCTGCATCATCCTCAATTTGGTTCAATTAATTTGTTTTCTGTGAAAACAAATTAATTTCCCTATCAAATTAGTCTCCCTATCCATCCCACATCAATGGGAGGATGCATGCTCTTGAGCTTGAGATGGATTTTACTGGCAGAAGCAAAAAAACCAATTATTTGAACTTGTGTTACTGGAACTCATGTTTTCCCGATAGACACTTATAATGAGCAATGTTGCCTCACTCACTAAGTTCTTATAAGGTTTCTGAGAAAAGATGAGATATAAGCTAGTGTGAGTGTGTGCATGAGTAAAATAATTTGAAATCTAATTTCTTCCACTCCAGTTCACCCAGACTTTGTCTGTATCTGTTAACCCTTCAAGCATTGAGTTTTGACCTGACCTCCAAAGTGATGATTGTATGGTGTATGCGAAAATTGCTTGAAGGGTTAATCGCTTCTGTGATTTACCCATCTCTGATGTGGGTAACATTGTCCTTCTCAAAACTGACTAGTGGCATAGGCGAATTGTGCTTTGTTGTATCGTTCTTGATTTGCCCAAATAAATGAATAAAATATGTTACACATACATACTTTGTTCAAACAAAGTCTATAGAATCAAAATTTACAATTTAAAAATTTACATTTTTGGTTCAATTCATAGCAAAAAAACAAGCAAAACCAGACTAAACTAGAGACCTGATAAATTTTATCCCCAATTTGTCTGTGAACACTGAAAAATGGCAAGGATGCATGTGATTGGTCTTCTTTTGTGGCCTCCCTTGTTTCTGACATGGGGTGAGACAATGTAATGAGCAACTGGACAAGAGGAGACTGTTTATAATGCACAGGTAATTTTGTCTTCAGTTTAGCCTGGGAGGTTCCTGAGATATGGTCACTCAAAGAACATGTGCACAGATGGTTATTGCTTATAGGTAATGAGCTAATGAGTGAAAGAAAGAATTTGGCTAATGAAACATTATTCTAGGAGTTATGGAGAATGTAAAAACAGTGGATGGATCATAATGGTTGCATTGAATGAGTTCCACAATGAGTTGGATAAAAATCCTCTGCAAAGAAGACCTTGCCACTGTTGGTTTTGAAATTCAGGATTGAAGGAAGTCTTGTCAATGCAAATAATAGACATTCTGGCAAGCCTTATTCACTCCATATGAATGATAATTTAGGAATTGTGTTCAACACCTATAGCATAGAGCTGTGGTTCCCAGATTTCTTTGGATCATGACCCACTTGCTGATGTACAGAAAATTTCGCGACTCACCAAAAAGCATGACGTGAAGAATATTGATTGACCTTTGCTGCATGGCATGCTTTATCCTGAGCAGATGCAGAAGTAGTGATTTTTTTGTACTAGGAAAATGTACACGACCCACCTCAAGGCCTCTTGCAACCCACAGTTTGGAAACTGTGGCATAGAGTAGAGAGTGTAACTAGAGGCAACACTCCGATGGGTAGGGAAAGGTTGAAATATTACAGAGACATCTGGTAGCATGTTACAACAGCACTTCCATGAGGCGTGCTTTTGTGGCAGCAGAATAAAAAATCGACTCATTCAGGGATTTGACCCAAAGAATCCATCAACATAATACACAAGTCTTGTTGAGTCTGCTGCTCAGCCATGGAGGAGTTGATGCATGCATGCTAGGTGGAGGAACAACAGTGACATCTATAATGCGACCCTGTCAATGAATGGGATTCAAGCAGTGTCGCTTCTAGTTATACTCTCTACTCTATGCCCATAGATGTATGGTCAATGACATTGTCCAACAGATGGATGTGTGCTCACAGTGGGATGGTGGCCACATTGAACATGTCTGTGAGCCTGTTAATTTAATGAACTAGAATGACTAAATAGCATTTTCCTACAAATGAAACACATGTATTACATGTAGTATGGAATTGCTAAAAACAGTGTAGTATCTCAGATTTTCCATTACCTATTTTCTTGGGGCTACCCTGTATTTACTGCAGGTTATCAATATTCTGAACACCACTGTAGCGAACATACAGGCTATTACCGAATTATTTACAATTAGAATGATCCAATAATATGTCAGAATCTGGAACAGGAATTATGATTGCAGGTGGGATCCAATGTTAACCCATTCAGCATTGATCTTACCTTTGTGGCACAATTGATTCTCTAAGAAAGGCAAGGCTGACTCTGCAAGTGAAACTTCATATTTCAGTATAACTTTTAGGGAGAAAAACGTTTAAATTTACTTGTAACTGGACAATGCAGTGACACAGTCAAGCTGGTAAAGGTACAAAATACCATCCCAATTCAGCTACAGATGGATTGCAAAGATGCAATTATATCACATTTGAATCCAGTGTCCTGGTTATCTATGGGTAGTAGGTGTACTTTGATTCCATCATTCTAGTGACATTATCTCAATACTAGCATTAGAGATGCTTCTTGGATAATTAAATTAATTTCATTTTTCATGAAAAAAAGCAATGTGAACCTAACAAAAGGTGCCATGAATAACATTTTCATCTTAGCTTCTTCACTTTCCATCACCCCATGAAAAATCCCAGTGTTCTGATCATCACACATTCAGCATTTGGCTATCTTCTCAAAAAGGTATGGAATTAGACTTGCAGATACAGGTTGTATCTGCCTGTGCCAAGTAATGCAAGTATTTGCAACACCTGTAGGTATTTACATGACCCTGAATGACACTGGAAGGTGTTACTACCATTGCATCTTTCATAATATGAAATCACCACAAAGATTATAAAATTATTTGAATAACTCACATTCCAGGTGAATCAGAGAAGTGAGAATAGCTTTGAATCCGTAATCTGCACACCGCACACATGACATGACCACAACCACAGGCCATGGCATTACAGCCTTCTTGCTTCATGAAGGGCTTAGTGCATCTCTCACAAAACCTATAAAGAAATTAGATACCATGGCACAAAGGTCAAACTTTACAATGACAACAAAGAAATAACACAATCCATCCCCAAGCAGCAATGGAGTAACTCACACAGAGGATGAAGAAGAAGTAGCTTTCAGAGTTCTGAAACTAGGTACAACATCTATGCTAGATGTTGTAATCACTGTTTTCTGGGGAGCTTCAACACACTGATATGGAATGTGACTTGCTTTCTTGCATAGTCTAGAAATAAATTTCCAGTTTCATCACTCACATTGATGATGGACAGGACTACTTGCAAATTTCCCAAGAAACTGAGGAGACAAAAATTCATACTGAATTGGTCTAACCTGCAGCTGAATCTCATGCACTTGGGGTTGAAGCATCGAAACAACTTCTCCTCTGGGTTGTCAATAAACACTACAAAGCTACAAAAGGGACATTTATCCAGATTTTTTATTCCAGCCTTCATCAATTCCCCTTCCTGTTGCAATTTAAAAATTTTTTGATATAGAGATGCCTTTAACACAACCTGCAAGAAAAGTAAAACAACAAACACCAACAGTACAGAGTACAAATTAGATCCACTTTAGAAAAAATATTTCCATCTCTCCTTACCTGCAAAGTTTTCTGGCTGTAATTTGAAGAGCATAAGGAATGAACACAGGGAAATATCAACTGTCCACAACCATTTGCAAACAGACGCTTCACATGCCTACAAAAAAAAGAACGCGTTCCATGACCAGATTTCAATCCAACCCTAAAATATATCATATTTCTGAAATGAAAAGTTGTTTCCTTTTTTGTAATGGCATATTTACACAAAAACTTGATAGTAGGACTAAAGGTTCAGCTAAAAGAATCAATTTATTATTAATTACAGTTCTAAAAATTATAAAATGAAATGTGATTCATTGGACTAATTGGCAATATATTTCCCAATTTATGGATCATACATACATACAGGGGGGTGCAAATGTAGGTATACAGTTAGCTGTTTATTTATTTATTTACAAAACATTTAGAAGCTATTTGGGGAGATGTTCAAACTGGTGGCTGTCACAGTTGAAACGGTCCTTAACCCTTTGAGGAGTGGGTTTTTTAATGCCTAGAAGATCACCCGTAGGGTGATCTAGGCATTAATACGGAGGGCAGGAGGATGTCAGTCCGTATATATACGGGCATACTCATCAAAGGCTTAACCATATCTGCACCCTTTCTGAGATGGTTCCTTACTTTCATTAATCTCATTGAATGCTGAAATCCTGTGTCATCAAACAGCTAACTGTATGCCTACTTTTGCACCACCCTATACAGGGTGCATGGAAAGTTCTGCAACTAGATTTTTTTTAATGTTTAAAAATTAAAAGAGACAAATTAGGACACTATTGAAAAAGCACATTTCAATGGAATCCTCCATTTTTCCCCATTATAGGTGGAGGTGAAATGTCAAGGTATGCAACATGTAAAACAACACCAAGAGAAGACTATCAGCTAGCTGAAGAGTTTGTGAATCTGAAGTCACTTAGACTATTAGAAAATGTAATTTTTTGCTACTAATGCAAAGATCAGGACTGGTTGAGTAAGCAGGACTAAAGGTGGGCTACTCTAGCCTTAAGTCAGAGTTATGATAACTTATCCTATGCACTCAGATTTAGATGGCATGGTCTACCCCACCAACTCAACTTTATGGTCATTTAAACTGTTCTTAATTTGAAACACTCAAAGTAATTTTCTGTGCATGGAATGGAAGTTTACGTACATGATGCTTTGCAAGCATGCTACAAAGATTGCGGATTGAGGTCTGACAGACGAGTGCAAAGGGTTAAAGATAACTCAGGTTCAGTCCTCTATTCATTACTCATTCTATAAAAGTTTAAATGACAGATCACAGCAAGATGGAACCTACTTCTGGATGCACAGTGAGCAGGTCAGATGTTCTGCAGGACACTTCATCATGTGAGCACTTTCACTTTTGCAAATGATACACCATGAACCATCACATCCAGGCAGAACTGTAGTGGCAGAGATAGGAGAAACAACCTCCAAACTTTCTTCAGCACTGTTCTCTGCCTTGCTGCTCTTCGTTTGTTGGCATGCTAGGATCTGACTCTCCAACCTCAAAAATGTAGCCTATTTTTTTTAGGAGAAAAAAGTAACATTGTAAAGCTTTTTAAGTCTTGGCACATTTCAACTGCCTCTCAGTTCTTTTGAAAGTCCCTCTTTCCCCTTTAAATTTTGATTGGTGGTTTTCCACTCGGCAGTCAAAACTAATATTCCTTATGAAAAAACAAGTTGCAATATTGAGTGTTATTTTCAAATGCCATGAGACCACTTTCATTTTGTTCAAAAAGGACTAAATTTCAGTCACTTTCACTTTTGATAATGCTACTAGCAAGTGAAGGAAAACTCATTAATTTCCATTGCAAGAAACAGAATTTATGGCCTTGTCATTAAATGTTAACACATTCAGCCCCGGAATCGGAGATTTCCAGTTTAGCACGTACTGTGTTTCTCATGCTTTTAGTTCAATAACAATTTGGTAGATGGCTCTGCTGTATGCCCTATTATCTTTGGAACGGCCTAGGCAATATGAAATGCAATGTAATGTAAGCAATGAAAAAAAAAAAACAGTTTTTATTGAAAAATGGCTGGGCTGCAGGGCTAGAAAGTGGATTTCTGACTTGGGGCTGAATGTGTAAACTGCAGCCATAGTTTTATTCATAAAATGGAAAAAGAAGTACTACAATTCAACTTAAAGAATGTGCAGCTTTTTTGAAGAAACCAATGGATATACTTGGTGTAATGTGCAGCATTTTGCACACTTGAAGATTGCTGAGTTTCATCAATTGTAGAGGTTCCACAAACCTCTAGAAGATCCCATGAAATGTGGTTGTCAACTTAGCCTTATGAGACCATACATTTTGAACATAACACAGCTCATTTTCCATTAAATTCAATCACTTCACTTGAGAGTCCAAAATATATATTCTGAAAAGTCCTGAAACAGGTATAATACTAAAAATTGTTCCAAGCAGAAAAACTATTTCCGTGTAGATTAAGATGCATTTGATCTGCAATGAAAATTATAATCCATTATATTTATTGGTTTATTCAAAAAAATTAAATGATGAAACTTTTTGACTGCATCCCATAAATGGTTCTAGTGCTCTTTTCTGTTTACAGGGACACGAAATGATGCGACTCATGAAAAACCCTCTATAATGATGTAAAAACCATTACATTGTGAGTAAATTGGAAAGCTGCTCACCTCCTGGAGGAATGTCTCATCCAACTGAGATGGTTCACGAATCTCATATGCACTTCTCCTGGTTTTTCTCAGAGAAAAGTTGCATGCTTTCACTGCCTGAACAGTTGGGGCAAGTAAGAAATTACGATCATGTAGAAGTTTCTCAAGACTAGCAGATGGATGATAGGGGAACAGCCTTTTCACATAAGCTATTGTATGCTCTATGTAGAGGTTGCTGACAATTCTTTCCAAATTTAGGAAATGTGCCAGTGGGTTTTTGAAGAGCTTTAAGAAGTCCTCCACTGAAATAGCATCATACTTTTCTTTGAGATCTACTGAGTACAAAGCAATATTTGAGATGACACCACTCCCCTGCTTGGCTGGAACTTCAGGTATGGATTGCTGGCATTGACCAGTTTCTATCAAGGAGCCTGCCATACACTGAAAATGACAAAAAAAATTGATGCATTTGTTTGTTACCACAGAGAATTTGAAAGAGGGAAGAAAATTCAAATGAGGAGTTCTCTGGAAAAAGGGAATATGTGCAAAAGATGCAATTCAAGATAAACAGCAAAAACTTCTCATAGCCAATCTGCAGCAGGTCAAAACTCTATTTTCAGTCAAATGGTATCTTAGACCTTTTCCAAATTGATCTTGGGGTTTCAACGAATTTATTTATCTCACAATGCACTGATGCAGGCAGAAAGTGTTTATGCACATATGCCATTTTTCCATAGCTGCACTGCTGGAACTTTTTCTAACTGGTTGATCACCACCTCTTTCTAGTTAAAAATCGTAATTTACCCATAAATACATCTGCAATTTCAAATAAAGCCCTTCCTCAAAGAATGGCAATTAACATGCGAATATTCAGGACTATTAATTCACCAATTACTCATCAGTGATCCATTATTAATTTATTCATCATCTGAATTTCTAACTGTTTCATAGATACCACCAACTTCTTGCATCCTTTCAGAGGCTTGGATGGCTGGGGCTCTTCCCATTTCCTCCTGTCTGGTTTCTTCCTCGTTCCCACTTTCAATCCGAAAGAAAGGAATTATTCCATCAAAATTGTACAACAATGAAGATGCTAATGAAATATTCATGGGTTGGCCATATTGAAATTGTCAGGCAGTTGGCCTGCCATGTAGTGTAAGCATAGGAAAGTCTGCTTTTCCTCTGCTGAATACCCTATCCTATGACAAGTCACCTAAATTGGCCCATGGACACGGATATGGAAAAAGGGCACTTACACCCTTTTTCTAGAGAACTCCTCAAATTAGTAGTGGCGAGAATTTTGATGGGAACTCACCAGCAAGGCATTTGGTTCAGAAGATGAAAAGTGACTACTAATATCCTGCCTCAACCATTTTGTATCACCTGGAAATGCAGTCTTGTGAATTTCCTTGCTTGAATCCAAGTCCTCATTTCCTTGAATTACTCTGGAATCACTCTGATTGCAAAGGGCAGATAACTTAATTGGTACGCATCCATCAGCTCTGGATGCAGGGAGAGAACTGGGCCATGCCTCCTTCACTTCCTTGATATCTGGAGAAGGGCATCTGAGTCTTTCCCTTGAGCATGATGACAATGATGTTTCATTGACTGCAATGAGCTCTTGACCATCCATAGGCATGATATCAGGCAATTCCAAGATTTCAAGTCCTGGAGAATCACACACTGTTTCTGTCTCACTCTCAAGATTTACTTCCACCTTGATCTGATGACAGGTCACTATCCCATCTATTGAGATCTTTGCTCCCCCTTCAGAAGAGGCCTTCATTGCATTATGATGTGATGAAAGCTGTTTCTTTATATATGATGATGGTGTGTCATTGACAGCAATGAGCTCTTGATCATCTATGGGCACAATATCAGGTAATTCCAAGATTTCAAGCCCTGGAGAATCATATCTAGTTTGTGTCTTACTTAAAAGTTTCACCTCCAATAAGGTCTCATCACAGGTGACTATCCCACCTGTTGAGCTCTTCACCTCTCCTTCAGATTCTGAATCCTTTATCAAACCATCATCATGGGACTGAGAATTTCTCATTCCTTCTTCCACATTTGTGATGTCATCCAATGGATCCTTCATTGGCTGGCTAGTACTTTTTATGTATGATGAAAGATTGGGACTACATTTTCCAGCCAGCTCATCATGTAACACATTTGAGGGCAAGCATAGGCCTATGCTGCTTGTATAGCTTGATGGAGGATGATGGAGACAGTCACACTCACTAGGGAGTACATCTCTTGGCCATGGAGAAAGACAAGGACTGAAGGCATCATTAAACACATCATCAGCAGGAGGTGGTGATGGTAAAGCCCAAATTTCATCAGACATAGCAACAGAGGATAATCTTGCAGACTCTGGTCACACTATGAGATCCCAGACCATTCTGAAATGAGTGCAGCTCCTGAATGACAATCTTCAAGTATATTTTATACCTCTATGATTGGAACTTATGAATAACTGCATTAGATGCTAAAAATCAGCTAAAAATAAATACAATTAGAAATTACAAGAATTCATCAATATTGCCCCAATATTTGGCATTAACTTGAAGCAGCAAACAACTGAAGGAATTAGGAAATTTGGATTTTGAAACATGAAATGCAATAACATAACTCATTTCCCACTTTCCATTCATCTTTGCAATCATGTCACAAAAAACTCTGACATGAATGAAGTTGGACTCTACAACATGTGACAAAAATGCTTATATATGACCAAGTTCACTAAATTCTAAACAGGATACATTGGTTAGGTAAAAATACTTATGGATTAGGTTGTCATATCCTTGTACTGCTCATATATCACAAGAGTGATCTCTTGATATTTATTATTATATGGAGGTGTCACCTCTTAAGACTTTTTTGCTGGTTCCACATTACCTATGGTCATAATTTGCAATTTTGTGCTATTTGTGATTTGGCATTCTACCTTAAGTGATAATTACCCATTACAATAACAACCCCCAAAATTACCAAAATAAAAGGCAAGATGTCTGAGAATCATATCCAAGATGGCATATCATGAACAGATGACTCTTGGGTATTATGAGAATAAAATAACTGGATGCAGTTGGGCTGTTGTATTCCAAATCAATCAACCAATCATTAACCAATACGTTCATGCTGCCACAGAATCACCAGCCAAAGTTACCAGTAAAATTGATCCAAAAAAACAATAATGATTTTTCACATGTGAACAAGGACCAATAATTGGCTACCTTTCTGGGAATGTACATATTCCATTATGGTTACAGCCCCAATTCAACAGCCCCAATGACGACATCATGGCATTTGACATGTTATAGAACCATTCTACCATACCTTTTGCATTGTATCTAGTCTTATCTGAAGTGTTGGCTAACGTGAATGAATCAGTTGCAAATTATACAATTGGTATTTTAAAAAATTGAGATTTATGTCATTTCTTATGTCCTATTAATCATAAGCACACGAAGCTGGGGCACATGTTTCATGCCTATTGACACAAAATGGTTGAATAAAGTCAATGTGTTGAGGTGGGGACTAGTACAATCACATTGACAAAAACCAAACTTGAAGGGATTTTCTTCTATGCCAGGGTATGTTAACCTTCCTAATTAAGAAAAATTCCCCCACTTACCTTATGTTAGTGAAGTACTGCACTAGTTCCTGTTGTACTGGAAAACCTCTGATAATTTGATGCAGGGAGAGAATCTAATATGATTGAACTTTTTGTGCAATAGTACAGGGATCAAGGTGCCTTGCTTCTGGATGCAGCTACAGTTGCATCACAGATAACCTCCCTTCAACTGGAATGACCAGTTCTCCAAGAAATGTACCTCATCTCCACCAAGAACCTCCATGCTCTTGCTGCAGACCAGCCCTACCAACTTGACCCCAAGCTCAACACTTTAGTCAAGACAGCCCACTTTTTACCTTTTAGAAATGCCATATTCCTTACAGAAATACTTTTAATCCCATAAGTGGGGAGTTTTCAGTCCATGGGTTTACCACTAATGGGGGAGTTTTTTTCTGAGCTCACTCGTCATACCCAGTAAACATGTAGAACTCTCACTACAGAAATATCTGTCATACCCATTTATGGAAGAAGTCTTCACGAGGCTAAATCCACCATATCCAGCTAAAGGGTGAATTTGCCTTTGTCTTTCTCAGGATATGTACTTTATTTTAGGGAAAATTCCTTTTCACTTTTATTTTCTTTAAAGGAAAGGAGACATCTACCATGGTACACCTGAAGGCTCAACACTAATGGGATTATTCCAACCCAAATGTACAAATACACATAAGAGCAAGAATGACTGCCTGTGAGATGCTTGCATGCAGCAATAGCATGAATTGCTTCTGCAGCAATTCCAGTGATGCCATGATTGAAACATGCCATTCATGTACTTACAAGACTATATGTCCTTGCAATGAAATAATACCACACCCTTCTACTAAAAATTACACTTAATTTCTTGAATAAGAAACAATATAGAAAACCCAAATGCCCCAGGACAAAAATGCTCAGACCAGAAATAGCCCAACTATGGACTTAGAAAAAGAAGAACTGTGCACATGTGGCAGTTGAGGAAAAGAAGGACCCTAGGATGAGAATTACAATTTGGAGCAGTAGGTCTGCAAAGTCACCAAAGCATTGGAAACAAATGGTTTTCAATTCTAAAACTAAGAATAAAAAATGATTATGGAGTTCACAAGGAACTCAAGTTTTATTTATATGCCCCTAAGGTCCCTCTTTTCTGGCATTGTTCCATATAACCTCTTGAGTATGTGAGAAAGTGAAGAAGCTCCAAGAACCTTTGAGCAACAAAGAATGCCATGGCAAGAGGAACATGTAAGTTAGACTTAGTGCAAACACCTCTTTCCAAGAACATATTGAACAACTTTCCAAAACATGCTGCAAATATTGGAGAAAAAAATATGATCAAAGCTATTACTGCATTCTTTGTTGCACAAGTGCTCTGCATAAGGAAAAAACTATCATGAAAAACTGCCAACTTGAGAGCAATCAAGGCCTCCCAGGAAGTTGATTTTGTTGGTATCTTGCTCGTTGAGCTTGATGACCTCTATCCATCAGCCTTGGAAGCTGTCCCATAAATGCTTGTTGCATTTGGTGGAATTGTAGCTCCCAATTACGAAGAGCCTATAATTGGACCAATGGAAAATTTAGAAGTTAATTAAAATATATTCTATCCAGCAGTACAATGCCCTGGATTATGAAATACAATGTCCTCTCACCAGCAGACGTTCTTCTTCTTCTTGTGCTCTATCTGCAGGTATTTCAGGCATATATTTTGTTAAATCATTCTTGAGTTCTAATTGAGGATTTTCTTCTTGCAATTGTTTTGTAGCCTCAACAGCTTTGGCTTGAACTTCTTTAGCATGAAGCACCAGAGAATCTGTCCACAAAGGGCACCTAACAAAAGACAAGTTTTAAAAAAAGGAGTAAATCTTTTCCTTCTGGCTGGAGCATGCAGACCACATCAACAAAAATAGGTAACTCACAAAAAAAAGAACAAATGATCCATCAACAACACATACATGATTTCTCAATCATGTGTGTGTCAATCAATCAATTTTTTAATTCAAGTGAATTTTAAAACAAAACATTCCAAATTTTTTTAGGGCACAAGGTAGAAAATTGTAGCAGCACAGGCATTACTTTTCTAACATGCTGGGGTAAACATTCTTAATTTATTTTTTCAATATTAGTTCATTTTTTCAATGAGGAATTCTTTGAAAGCTAAGATGGCATAATTCATTTTCAGCACCTTTTGGGTCACTTTGGGCAGCTTAGTCACTAGTTTCCCTCATTTTTTCCAGCTCTCTGCTGTGGTCTGTACTTCAATCAATCCTGCTGCAATCAGTGAGACAACCACAGAACTCTGATTTGTTTGACCTAGGTTGTTCTAGGCCTTCCTTGTGATCTGCAGCCAGTTGGTTTAGAGAGCATAATCTGTTGGACAATGCATTCTGAAAGCATTCTAAGCACAAGCCTGAACCATCAAAGCTGGGACATTTCTATCTTGAAAAGTAGCAGCTTGACATGCAGGAAATCTCTAATCACTGAACTTTTGACCCAATCAAGTCTTGTCAGTCCAATAATCCATTTCAGCTACTTGCACTTGTAACCTCACTCTTTCTATTGCACTTGCAATCTCACTCTTTCTATCAAAATCCAAGATTCATAATCATAGGTCAGGATGAAGAAGAAAGAAAATTGATTTAAATAAGACTGAAAGCTTTGTCTCACAGCTAAGTTCAGTTTTCTTAACAACAGTTCAGTAAAGCATTTACATTATTGCACTGATCAACATCTTGGGCATTCTCATCACTTGTGAATGAGACTATGAGGTACTTGATATTCTCAACCTGCTTCAATGGAACTCCACTAGCATGTAAATTGCACTGAAAAGGGGACCTCGAAAGTACCATAACTTAGGATTTTGCTGTGCTTATTTTCATGCCAGCCTTAGGTTCAATTGTGAATCTATTGAGTGCACACTGGAGGTCAGCTTTGGTAGTAGCCAATATAGCTAGGTCATCTGCGAACAGTAGGTTTCACAACTTGACTGCACCTATCCATACACTCTTCACCTTGGCTGCACCTGATGATCCTATCCATATACTAGTAGAATATGAATAAGAGAGGTGACAAGACACACCACTGACAAATTCCAGCACCCACTGTGAATAAATTTTACCCGACACAGTTTACCTGTACCCGATTCCTACTAGAATTGTACAGAGATTGGATGGCTTGCAACAGCTCACCATCCACTCTATGCTCCTGTAGACATACCAACTTGGATGAGGGACCATGCATATGTTTTTTCCAGGTCCACAAAACATGTAGATTCACATATTTCCACAATTTCTTGAATATCTAATAGAGTGAAGAGTTGATCATGTCTCAACAAGCTCAAAAAGTGCACTGCTCTTTGGTGATATGTGCATCAATTATGCTGCAAACCCTCCACTAAAGCACTTTGGCATATATCATACAAGGAAGGCAGAGATGAGTGATGCCCCCATAATTGGAGCTATTTTTTTCCATTCTGATAGTCTGCAGTATCCATATCAACCAGACAACATGACTCACTGCACAAGTACAGCTTTCCACCTTGATTGGGGTGCCAGTCTACAACTAAAACATCCTCTTCCCTTTCAGCCTTCATGAATGATAGATCCACAGTTGACAATAAGAGAGAGGGGCTGCTTGTGGCTGCATAGACAGGACTGCTGGACTTATGTATGAAATGCTGTATCTGGAATCCCACACTTTATACTCTCCTCCCATCTCCACATGATGCAGACACATGAACCATTGAGAACATGTCTAGTTGTCTGGGCCTTTCCTCATTTCAAAGTTGGATGGAAAGGAAGCAGAGAAGATAAATCCAGAGGTATCAGAGCCAGTGGAATGACAGATCTGTACCTGGGCTGGTACTCTAGTTAGGCTGAGCCACAATCTGTTCAAGTTAGAAACATGTGTAGGTGTTGCTTCTGAAAAGTTTTCCTTCTTTACTTGTCATTTTAACACATTCATGCCCAGCGACTCCAGAACACTATGGGTTTAAAAACGTAATATTACAGGTCCCAGCATCAATGGGTTAACATCACTTAATAGCTCAAATGGATTGCACTTGAGTGTAGTGAAAATGAGAGAACCTGCCATTTTTGTGCTATCTTATATATTCAAGATTGCATCCACAACACCTTATGGGGTATATGCATAATACATAAACCAAACAATTATGGGGATTTAATACCGAATTATGAAATCAATTGAAATTTATTCATGGGAAGAAAGTTATTTGTTCGTATTTATTTGCAGGCATGTTGTCGCAATTCACTGATGCTATAACTGGCATTTATAGGGGAAAGAATCTCTACAGACATAATAGTCAATGGAGTTTATGAATTTCCTGGTCAATCCCTGCCATCCATGCATGATCAGCAAGTCAGTCCCCAAATTTGATTGACATGGATCAGTGTAGCACAAAAGAAAAAGATATATGAGTCAACCTCTGTCTATTGGTATGTAGACTGACAATATGAACATAAGAAATCACATTGCATGAAGTCCACACAGATCAGAGAGCTTACACACAGGTAACTTCATGGAAATTCCACTGTACTGCTACAGGTGACTGTATCTGCAGAAACTCTTCCACAATAAATAACCATGTGCCCCATCAGTGAATTGCAACAATATACTGTGCCTGCTAAGAAAAAACTTGCCATTTTCAATAGTCTTTCATTTCTTTTACTATTGTAATTCAGTCCAGAACTACCAGGTTAAAACAAAAGCCACTAAAACAAGTGCCACCCTATAAACATTTAAACAGTTTATTTTTCAAGTGCATTGCATGTACTACACTTTCAGCTTAAAACACTGAGAATGGAAGCTCATACTTTTGAAATAATATCTGTGGGACTCTCTATAACCCTTTCCCTGGCAGACAGAAACTTGAATTTCCAAGCTCCTCCAGGAGGCATTGGCATCTCATGGATTTCAAAAGATGTCAATGTCAGGGAAAGGGTTGAATTTATAATTTAAAAAAAGAAAGAAAAAGGTCATAACAAGGAATTATTTTCTTCCTGGGAGGGAAATTATCCTATTGGTTCTACAATTTTCAGTCAAAGGGGTCATTGGTCTGTAACATGTTACTCAAGATAGAGCAAACATATATGAATGCTTATAAAACTCACTTTTTGGGATCATTGTAAGCAAAGTGAGCATAATCTTCAACAGGTTTCCTACAGAGGTAGCACATTTTTGCGCCACAACTACAGGTCATTTTGTTGCAGCCCTCTTCCTTCATGAATCTCTTCTCACACTTCCAACATGTCCTAAAATATGCACCAACTATTGATATTCTGTTGCACAGCACAACTAACTCATTGCTCAAAAGGACTTACTGATTTACCTGATCATGGCTTCTGACAACACATTTTCCAAATATTTATGAGCCTGTTCAGTTTGTTCCTCCAGATGGATTTCTTCACATCGTCGAGGGATGTGACTTGGTCTTTTACAGATCCTATTTAATGAGAAATGCATCCAATTTCCCTACATATCATTTTTGTACCACAATGATGATGAAAACTTACCGACAAGACTCCTTCATGCACTCAGGATCAAGACACTTGAAGATCTTATCATTAGGATTTTCCATGATTGTGGCAAAATCACAAAAAGGACAGCATACAAGATGTGGAATGTTTGCAGCTTGGATTTCCTCAGTTTGTTTCCTCCTCAATACACGTGAGAGAACTGAAGGCCGTAAGACTTGCTGGCAGGTTATGGAAATATAAGAACCATTATCATTTCTTTGAAGAAGATAACAGAGATCAAATGATGAAAATTACTTACCTGAAGAATGCCATAACTAAATGTCAGGTTGCATGAAGGATCCAAACAGGGGAAATCAACACGTCCTTGTCCAATCAGTTCCTCTGCATGCCTAAAGAAGAATGGCAAGCAATGGGAGAACATAATGTAGAGAGTTTCTTTGGAGGCATCATGTTTAACTTCCCAGTTATGAATCTTCACAGAAATTGAATAGTTCATTTTAATAGGTTTTGCCAGTCTTTTGTGAGAAGCAAAGAGATAGTTTCACACTTATGGCATAGTATTGAATAGGGAAGTCAGAAATATAGTTTCACAATTATGGCATAGTACTGAATAGGAAAGTCAGAAATAGAGTCTCAATTCAGTGTTTGTCCACAATCACCATGAGGTACTGTTTCTTAGCAAAATACCCTCACTGAAAATTATAACCACTCATGTATCTGAAGAGTTCTGCTGAATTTCATGAGAATTCATATTTTATTAAATGAATCTAGTCTAGTGTGATGGCTTAGCAGATTATAAGACTAATATGGAAGATCCTCTCATATCTTAAAGAATATTGAAGGGAATGCCTCAGTCAAACTATGACCCCTGGCTATTATTGCTCATCCTCCCCCCCCCTAAACATTCAGTAAACAGCTGAGCCATTTTTCATGGCAGGTGTTCCATGAGTTACATCATATTAAAAAATTTTCATTAAGAGGAAACAAATGAAATTTCAACAGAAAATCATATCAATGCAGTCATTTCCAAGGTCTAACTGGTGAATATGACTTTCTTTTTGTGAATTTTCAATCAAAATGTTTATTTTATTTAGTATTTCTGGAAAGCATGAATTTAGGTGAAGCTATGAATGAGGCTTCCACAATCTAACAAGATTTCAAGTAAGGATCATGGCTTCCAGAATCCAGTCAGTTTAGATGCTTCAAAAGTCAGTTAAAGTACCAGAAGAAAATTAATTGAGGCATAATTCAAAGCTACAAATTACTTTTGGATATATTCTAATAGAAGTCACACATCTTAACTCCTTTTTTTTTTATACACTACCTTAGTCCATCCTCACAGAGGAGAACCATAAGCAACTTAATAAACACTTGATGCAAGCATGTGAATACATGCTTGCATCAAGTGTTTGATAAGTTGCTATTGAAACTTGAAACTTCTCTTGGCAGTAAGCCAAGTTATTCTGTTAGTAAAACAGAATAACTACCTGAATCCTGTGTTGAGATATCTTGACGTATAAGAATATCAGTTCTATACTTCATTAAGCAAAACAATAAAAGCAAAGCCAAGCAAATAATGGTTTCAAGACAACCCATGCTCTATTTTCAAAAGAAAAACAACATTGAAAATGATTTTTAAATTGACTAGAAAACACTAAACTGAAATTTAAAATTATAAGCAAAGTATTCAGGATTCAGGAGGATAAGCCATAAATTAATTCCTTCCTCATCCCAACAAGGTACTTTATATACCCTCAGAACATAAGGCCTGTTAATCTTCGTTGCTTCACCCAACAGCAATTTTTTGGAGCCCACTATTTTCCAGTGCAGAAAATTAGCATTGTGTGAATGGAAGCATAAAAATCCTAAAGGAGATGCATGCAAGATCATCCTCACTTTCGTACACATGACTCGCAAAACAGATGTCCATCAATGCAAGGCTTCATATTCTTGAAGAGAAAACTGTCTTCACAACATACAGGACACTCCAACGTGGTACCTGTTCGTTGAGCCTCTTCCAACTCATTTTCATCTTCATGCCTCACCTGCTTCTCATACTCAATGATGGCACTTTCAAAACGAAGAAATGCCAGCTACATGAAAAGAGAAGAAAATGCCCAAGGCATGATATTCCTCTTGGCAATAAGCACATCAAGGTTAGTGAATAAGTTGAGATAGCAAATTCCTTGCATATCAGAAAACAAAATAATGCTGACTCTTCCAGCATCATGAGTACACAAGGTACTCAATTAAAGTGGACTAACAATTCCTGCCTTCTCTGTTCCAGATTAAGAGTCTCTACTATAGACTGTTCACACCTGTGAAAATGGCAGTAAAGTTGGATACAGAATAGGCCCCTACTTTTGCTAACTTCTGTGCATGGAACATTCTTTATAAATCTCTTTCATGTAGTCTGAATCAATTTCAAGAAGTGCAAAGGATGCAATAATCATTTTCTGCTAACACATTGAATATGGCAATATTACATGCAAGTTCTTCATCAAACCTTACAGCCATTTTCATTAGCATGAACTCCAAAAAAAAAAAAAACACTCATCTGAAATAGAGAAACGAAGGATTAATAATCCAATGTTGGTAAAGTAATTTAAATATGAATTGTCCATAACCCTTGCTTATATGTAATGAATTTGCATGGGGGGTGAGAGAAGCCAGGGAACTTATTGACCAACCCTGGCATTTTCATGCTACAGATGCTAACAAAGCCTAGATTCATTTCTAAACTTTAATTGAACCAGAAAAGTTCAAATTTTCAAGAGTAAATTCATGCCTTTAGGATAAAAGCAACAATACACCCAAGAGCAGAACAATGTCAATTCATTTCTTACCTCCTTCAGGAATTCTTCATCTGTGTAATTTAGCTGCTTGATTTCTGAATTTGATCTAAGAGTCTGTCTTTGAACATTGCATTCTTCTTGAATAGCACGAACAGATGGTGCCAGTAGGCCATTACTTTTTGAGAGAACTTTCCTAATGGTTTTTACAGTTTCAAAGGGGAATATGCTCTTGAGATACTCCAAGGCAAGCTCCTTGTATTGACCTGACACCCTTCTCTCCAAATTGTAGAAATATTCCAATGGGTCCTCCACCAAACTCATGAATTCTTTTAGAGAAATGTCAGTGTACTTCTGTTTCAGATCTTCAGACTTGAAAGCTTCATTAGCACCATGAGGATAGGCTCTGTGCTCCAACATTCTCTGCACCTCCACCTAGATTAATTCAGAAACATCCATACATCCCATGATAGCCCAGATACTTAACACTTATTCCTTCATACTCATGACATTACATGACAGTTCTTATTATCCAATGGATTATTATCCATGTTTTGAACTCTTTTAATAAGCAAATGGGTCAAGTGTCAAGGCAGTGGTATCAGAAAGCCAAGTTACTGGTAAATAATACAAGACAGGAATATCATATTCCTAAGGAGAGGTGGAGATAGAAAAAAAAACCACCTAGAAATGGAAAATGAGGTTTGTCCAAAAACTCTTGAGTGACAGTCCCATTATGTTTTCTGTGAGATGAGAAGAGAGGAGTAAGATTCTGAGTTCAAAGCATGGGTGAATGGATAATAATCATGAAGGTATAATGTGACAATTCTTCAAAATCACAAACTGTTGAAGAAGTGATAGAAACCATAGAAACATGCAACACAAATATGGGGTATTCAAAAGTAGCTGTGCATTGAAATGAAATAGCTATTTTGCATTTTCAGCAACAGCTATGGATTTGCTGCTGAACTGTTCATGAATTTCAGATCAAAATGGTCTTCTGTTACCTCTGACCTGTTTTGTGGTGTTTTTGTTTAGCAATAAGTACATTTTCTGGATAAAACTCATTATCACTACTGCACAGTTATTTTTGAGACATCCTGTATAAAATGTAACTGTGAAAACTGGATAGCATCCATGGCAAATACAAAGGAGATTTGAGAACAATTTACAAACTGAGAAAATGTAAATTCAATATGATGACAAGCACACAAACCTGCAGAGCATCATCATTTCCTTGGAATTCATCAATTTTCATGAGCAAGTAGTTCTCATCACAGTCTGGGAACAGTGAAAACAAAATATTTAATTTCTCATGCTTTTTCTGTTCTTCCTCATTTAAAGCTCTCTTCACTCTGGATGCATTTTCCTCTTCCTCCATATCATCACTTTCAATTTCATTCTTCCTTTTCTCAGGAATATGATGGTGTTTATCTACATTCCTTCCTTGATTGCGAACAGCACGCGAGGAAGAAGGAAAAGTCTGAGTGCTAGTATTACACTTACAATAAGCCTCATCTATCTCTCTTGTCCATTGGGGGATGGAAGCCAAGTCTTCATTAAGGAGGTAATTCACTGATTTTCCTCTCCAGTCATTATCATAAGCAAACTTGGTAACTATATTTTGAATTGCATACAGTGGGATGTGTGGGAGTATTTTGTGGATTTCATGTGCTTCCACAGATATCTCAGGAGGTATCAGTGGAGGAGGAGAAGCAGGACCAGGAACAGAAGAAGGAAAATTATATGGAGAAGCAGCTGTTGCAGCTTCAGTACCAAAAGAAGACATGTTCAAAGAGTTGCAATGAAATTCAAATGGGACCACTGAAACAGCAGCAGCACTGGAGCACTCAAGTTTGTGTCTTCACTTTCATTTGCAGGATGAGATCAGCTCTGAATCAAGATCATCACCTTGTTTAGGCCTGTCTCTGCATTCTTGTAACCTTACACCAGCTGCTTCAGTATTAGCAAGCTTTTCAAAAGGAGGAGATGGCTAATAAGATTCAGATGCCAAGGAGATAGCGCAAGGACTTGAGGCAACGTGGAACTTGATCCAGAAATGATGTTGAAGTAGTGCAGCTCTATCCTGTTGAAAGAAACCATGCCCATAATATTCAAAATGCATTTTGCACATATGCATTATGACTATAAGGAGCAATCATGCAACCAAGTCAATAGGAAGCAAATCATGAAATCTTATGAGGTTCTATTTCTGAGTCTTCAACCCTTCCCAAAGTATTAATAATAATGCAAATAACATTTAGATGCAATATATCTTGTACTTTCAACACTTGAATTAATGTAATTGCTTTGTTACCTGCTGACAGGAGTCTCTTTCACTTATATATATATGGTCTTCCCTTAAGGCCTGAATGCACAAACCTCATTTTGGAGAAACAAAGGGGCCTTTAACCATTTTAGTGCCAAGCCATTATGGGAAGTAGTAGCTAAAAATGCCAACCCCCCCCCCTTTTTTTTCTTAAATCACAATGCCTCATAAATAAATAAAAAAAAAACAACTCCTGAAGTATAACACATATGTGATTCTTTTTTAATTTACTCAAAGATATTCGGAGTATTATGGATTATAGTTTATTTGCAACAAAACATTGATCTCTTTTTATTTATTCATTTCTTTTTGAAAAATAAATTTCTTTTAAATTTAAAATTCCAACTTTGAAGCATAATTAATTTACTAAATTTATTCCAAATTCATATGCCATTACCATATTTATGCAGAGTTGTCCCTTTTCCTTCACAACACATGTTCATAGTCATATATCTTTCACACTTACACTGCAAATAAAAAGAAACAAAATTATATAAACTCACACAAAATTAACTCATCACCTCAGAGTTAGAATAAAAAATACTATGGGAGCAACTAGTGGCAAAAAAATTACTTATGTGCATGTTGATTACTGTATCTGAAGGCTGCTGCCATCCAATAATAAGAACCCCAACTACATGAAGGTAGAAACCTATTGAGAAGCGGAGGTAAAAAAAATCGGTCCAAGGCAATTTTAGCAGTAGTACATGTGGTCAAAAATTTGGCCACACTGCACTAGAAGGGTTAAGCTAAAGGGCCCATTTTCCACCATAGGAGTTCATATATTCCTAATGGACTAACTAAAGGAGGTTTAGGCCCTAATCTATCCTACATGCCTTGCATGACAAATGCACTTTTGAAACTGTGTCCTGAAATGGATACAATATCAAATAAAGACTAAAAAATGGTTGTACCAATGAAATGAAACTGCTGGAACTTGTGAATATGAATGTGTCAGGTGTAAAGTGCTCAAGGAAAATGCATTATGACAGCTGATGTAAAGTTATGCCAGAGGAGGAAGGAAGCTTCTCTGCTTGCTTTTCATTTGCCAGGCTGTTTTTATTTATCACACTGTAACACTGCAGGCAAGTAGGAATATTATAGGCTTGTCTTCCATCATTACGAGTGATTCAGATGCTCTTACTTCAACACCAGATTATTCTTCCACTCTATTCTACCTAAGGAATTTTCAACTACTAGTCTTCTCTCACAGTTTGCATGATCATATGGGCAAACCCTGTACCTGAAATGATGGGAGATGCATACATTTTTATACTTAAATTTACTTTTGTGCATCCTATACATGCACTCCTTAGTGAAAAATAGTATTTGCACTTATTACTTGCAGGAATTAAAATGCTAAAAAATCATTTCTCCACATTCCTTTATTTGAGGA